AGTATCTAGCTATTTAGAAATGGAGATTTTTAACAGTGTTTCAAAGTAATCAAGAAAATTTCCAGCAATTTCAGTCAACCATGTCGTCTAATGATCAGTAAACACGATAGTACCAAACACATAACTATGTTTTTGCAGAAACTTGGACTGTGTTCTATCCTTATTTACATCCTGAACATTGTATATCAGCTTGAATTTCAGAATTTTTATTAGAATTTGGCCACATCACAAGAGTTTGTAGATAGGCTGGTGCCCTCATAATTTTCCTTATGGCTTATTCATGAATCCAGTTAATAAAGTAGATACATTGACACAAAATTGAAATGGTAAAACGTTAGTCACAGAAGTATAGCATTGTTTGTGTTCACTGAAAAATTTTGAAATTTTTGAGAAATTTATATTTTATTTCCACAAATACAGCTTTTTGTAACATCGAAGTTAATAATGCTATTACAATAGAAAAATGAGTGTCCTGTTTAGCTTATTTTCTCTAGTCACATGTGTAACTGAAATAAAATATCTGAACTTCCTTGAAGTATCATCAAGGCTTGTTCTTCTCAAGATAAATATATTCTAGGCCAGTGCTCTGATGTTATACCATACATGTAAACATGGTAAGAGCCTACTATTTCATGTGTGCTAACTTAGCGGAAAAACGTTGCATCTCTCCAGAGTACTACCATGGGATCATACATGCCACACTTAGTAATTATGTTTCAATATTCATCACCAAATACTATCAGCTGGAATGATTCTCATTTAATATAAAAACATCCTTATTTATTGCTCTCGAATGTAATGGACATCGTTTTCACTCCTAATCTTACATGGCCTCTGTGTTGCACTGGGCATGGACAAACATTCCTACTTTTTGAACAGTCTCATCTTATTTTTCTCAGTACATATGTGGTTTACTCCTCTTTCTTAACCTGCTAAACTTCATAACTACAATAAAATTTAAAAATCTAAAAGACAATTGCTTAAAGACACTGGACAATAAAAAGCGTAAATGCATGGTTTCTGAGAGAAGAAAAACAAGCTGTCAGGCTGAATTAAAAAAAAAATTGAACTTCAGTGAGTTGTGGGGAAGTATCAAACAGTTCATCCTACACACCATGAGTCCCAAGTGACAGCAGGGGTAAAGAACAGGAAAATATTTAAAGATATAATGGCTAAATATTTTCAAGTTTGACTGAAACCATAATCCCACAAAATCAGCAGACCCAGGCAAGCCCACAAAACAAAAACAAAAACAAAATAAGAGATAGTATAATCAAATTGTTGAAAACTGGTATTTAGGATTATATACTTAAAAAAGAATTTTATTTATTTATTTATTTATTTATTTATTTATTTATTTTTGAGAGATTTTTTGCTATAGGGAGTCTGTGCTCACCAGACACACAGAGAAAGACAGAGAGACAGAAAGCGAGAAATCACTCCCCAGGGGGGATGGCCATGCTGCAATCCCTTCTCCTCCATTCTCCTCTCGGGATCTTGGGCACACACGCACACGCGCCCGGTGTGAGTTTTAAGCCACTGGGTCCGGGACGCGAACCGCGGTCGACTACGTGAGAGTCTAGTGAAATAGCCATTACACTAACTGCTGGTCCCCCCAAAAAGAATATTATTTAAAAATAAAGAATAAAATGAAGACTTTATTTTGAACAAAGAAACAGAAAAAATCATTGTTAGTAGGCTTAAAATACTAGAAAATAGTAATAGTAAAAATTAGGGATGTAGTTAACAAAAGAAAATGATGTCAAATGTAAAGTTAGATGTACACAAAGGCATTGAGAGCACTCAAAAATAGAAAAAAGTTCTTTGTATGTTACAAAAAATTACATTTTAAATCATTAGATTATATTGTGATTATATGTGTGTGTGTAGAAGTAAATATATGATAATTGCTCAATAAATAGAAAAGGGAAGTGGTTCATAATCAAAAGCTTCCTATGCTAAATCTAAAGTGATATAATATTATTTTAAGGCACATTCTGGAACATTAAAAATTACACCCTGGACAAACACCACAGATCTAAAATTAATTAGGTATAGGTAATAATTTAAAACTGATGAGGAAATATAACTATAAACCTTATGTGATCCAAAATAAAGCAGAAAAAGAAAAAGCAAGAACAGAAAGGATAGCAAATGCAAATAGCAAAATACAGACTTAATCCAGTCATACCAAAAATACATAAAATGAAAATGATTTTAGTACTCAAATTGAAAGGCCAGTGTATTGGGCCATCAGATAGTGTGGTGTTGAAGACAGATGGACCCCACATGCCTAACTTTGCATTTTGAATTTCCGACCTGGCAGCTTGAAAGGCATGTGTATATGTATGCCCAAAATCCAGGAGGAGAATGGAGAAGAAGGAATTGCAGTGTGGCTATGCCCCTTAGAGAGGGATGCTCCCTTAGAGAGGGATGAATTCTCTCTTTTCTTCTCTCTCTGTCTCTGTGTCTATCTTATGGGGACATAAAGAAACATTTAACAGACTAAAAAATGTAAAGTTCTCCAAAGTAAATCAGTAGGAAAAACTGGATATCCACTTAAAGAGAAAACTTTGACCACTACCTCACACCATACCCAAACTTCTTATTCAAACTAGAATACAGACCTAAATTCAAGAGCTAAAACTCTATCCTTGAAGAAAACATAATGAGAACTCTTTAGACCTTGACTTGGGCAAATATATTTCTTAGAACACAAAAGCATAAACTTAAAATCTGATGCTTATTAAATTTGATAATGATATTAAGTGAAAAGCAAGTAATATTCTAGAAGACAAGAAATTATAGAATATATTTATGTTAAAGAACTTAAATACAGAATATATAAAGAACTCATAACTTATTACTAAGAAAATTAACAACCCCGACAGTGGGCAAAACTCTACAAACACTTCACAAAAGAGGAAGTATGAATGGCAAACAAGTACAATTATTTCCAACATCCTGGGCATTAAAGAAATGCAAAAGACATGAGTATATATTGCAAAGAAAATGTAAAATTAAGAAGGATTAAAATCACAAGCATTGGCAAGGATAAGGAGTCTTCTTGTGAAGAAAAATAAAAACATACTGTATGTCTATAAATATACTTTTGATTTGTACAATAATGCCCTTAGCAAAATTATTTACAAGGATACAAAACTGGAAATGAACCAAATGTCCATCAAACAGTAGATAAATAAGTCATAGTATACCACAAAATGGGAAATTATTTAGCAATTAAAATTAATAAGTTATTGATATAGGCAAAAAGGTGGATGAATCACAAGAGCATTACACCAAGTAAGGAAGTCAAACAAACAAGAAACCCCATAAAACCCCCAAACAAAACAAAACAATATGAAGTATGATTCTATTTTATTAAGTAGAAATGACAAATCTACAGTGCTAGAAGACAAAATAATAGTTTCAGGGGGTATATGAAGTGTAGTTGACCACAAAGAGGCACAGGAATAGTTGCATGATTGCAATCATTGATCCAAACTCACCAGCAATCCCAATCCTTGGTATCTACTCAAAGGACAAAAGAATTCTTCAACAGAAAAGTGCTTGCACATCCATGTTTATTGCAGTGTTATTTGCATTTGCCAAGACATGGAACCAACCCAAAAGCCCACGAACAGATGAATGGATTGGAAAACTGAGGCATATATACTTTACGGAATACTAGTCAGCCATAAAAAACAAGACCCTGGCTTTTGACAGAAAGTGGATGAATATGGAAGATTTACTGCTGAGTGAAGCAAGCCAGGCTATGAAGGAGAGACACTGAAAGTCCCCACTTAATATATACTGAGTGTCCACACTCTATGACTGAAACTGATTGACTAAAGGATATAGAAACACAGTAAATGGTTGTGAATGCCAGATATAGTGTGGGTGAAAGAGTAGAGTCTGAAAAGGACATTTAGAAGAAAAATAGAGAGGCAAAGCATTAATGGGACAAAGAAATGTGATATCTGTTGAAGATAATTTTATAGTTGATAATAATTATCAGCTGTACTGGGGAGAAATGTACACATGTTGTAATATTCACTTTGTAAGCTAAATAACATGATTGAATGTATAAAGAACATGACATTTTAAAACAATTATAGTAAAAAAATGGGTAAATTTTATTTCATATTGTTAATACCCCATAAAGAGCTGGTATAAAACCTGAACTCTTTATTTTTTCTTCCTATAATCTTTGAAAAGGCAGTAAATGGCACTTATTATCATCTTCTCTGTTGCAAAGTAAAACCCATGGGTCATCCTTAAGTCTTTGTTTTTTATCTTTCAAATATATGAGCTCACTATGGGACATCAGATACTTAAGAATTCTATAAAATAGCCTATGCCCTGTATCCTCATAGAGGCTCACTGGGGACAGACTTCTGGTATATTTCACCAACATTTCTGCAACTACCCTATCAGTTGTTCATCTCGTCTGCTGGTGCTTACAAATCTCTCTAAATTTGAGTCTGATCATGCCACTTTCTATGGTCCATGCATGAGGCTAAAAAAAGAATGAGAATTTGTCCAAGTTAAAGTTTGTTAAAGTTCAGAAAACTCTCAACTATTTCCTAAAAAATGTAGTCATAATTTGGGGTTAATTATTACAGATTTTTGGAAAATTTCTTGAATTAGTTTCTCATTTCACTGTTTTGTTTGTTTGTTTGTTTTGTTTTGTTTTGTTTTGTTTTGCAGATATATTTCATTGTGCTTGGGTATCAGGTTATATATGTTTCCTGGTTTTATTATACAATGTTCTTTTCCTCCTGTTTTGTAGGTATTATGGATACAACTTCATAAATGTGTACTTCATCACCTTTCCTACAAGTAAAATGTAAGATACAGATCAATATCTACATCACACTATGGTGATAGTTCTATATTGTTTGTGATATAATATTAGATTTTGAAATCCCAGGTATGGAGCGCTACCAAAACAAAAATACTCACAAAAAAAAGTGATTAAAAAAAGATGATTTACTCACCTTACAACCAGTGATAATGCTGTGGCCCCAGGTATTGGGGGCACATTTAGAACATTTCTCTCCAATGGTATTGGGAGGGCAAATGCACCGACCAGTCTTTGAATCACAGTTATTACCAAGATGGGAACAGTCACAAGCTTTACAGGTGAAAGAGGGGAGAAACAAAGAAGAGCAAAAAAGAAAACAAAAGTGAAAATTTGATATACAGTGGTGATATTTCTATTGTATGTTTTTAATTTCTACTTTATATTCATGGGTCCTTGGAAGAAACTTATTTCCACTCATATTTATATTATAATACAGAATATTTCACTGGAGGAATTGTTTAATACATATTTCATATTTGATTTAATAACTTCAAAATTCACAGGGCCAGCAGGTGGCATGGTGGTTAAGGTGTTGTACTCCCACATGGCTGACTGAGGTTGAATTCCTGGACCTGGCAACTTGCTTTCTTACTTTTCCTCTCTCTCCCCCTCTCTCTCTGTCCCTCTCTGGTCAAATTAAAATAGATAAATAAGTAAAGTTAAATAAAATAATTTT